GGTACATGGCCTTGCATGCCATTGATGGCATCCCGAAGAATTGCCAAATATTACACGTGGAGCAAGAAGTGCTTGGTGATGATACAACATCTTTGCAATGTGTTCTAAATTCTGATTTTGAAACAACCTAGCTTTTGGAAGAAGAAGCTCACCTGCTTACATTACAGGTTGAAACATTCTCTTTCAAATTATGAAGTTTAATCCGTTGCAATACTTGTTATTCCATTTGCCTTTACTTTCTTTCTGCAATGAATCCATGCTCATCCAAAATCTTGTACTGAATGTAATTCTTTAGAGAGAAATGGACCTAAAGGAGGAAGCTGGTAAGAGCAGTAGGGACTTGAATGGAGGGGCTGACAAAAATGCCATTGCACAGAGGCTTGAAGAGATATACAAAAGACTGGAGTTTATTGATGCTTAATCTGCAGAGGCACGTGCAGATTCTATTCTTGTGGTTAGTTTCTCCAACCTCTTCATAAGCATGGCAACCAAATTATTCTTAGCGTAATCATTTGAGACACGAATGATTATTATTAGTAAGAAAATTACTTCAATGACCAATTTGAAATTTATAATGAACTTTTGCGTCGGTTGGTGAAATTATCCTATATGTCTGTCTGTCTCTTTCTCTCTCATCTTATTATCCTTCTGCGGCACTGCCCACCTATCTTGCCAATTTTATCATTTTCTTTTACCAATTTCCTGCTTTATTAAAAATGTTGGTTACTCCGTATGTTTACATAGCAGGATGGTGAAGATCATCCTGAGGGGGGTATTATTACAGCAGAGGTAACAATTGACTTCATTATCATTTTTTAGATTCTATAAAATCATCTTCCATGATATCACTTAATACAGCATGTAAAAAGCAGAATATGTCAACAACGGTAGAGAATAGAAACCAGGATTCCCTATTCTATGAGTCCAGTGATAGCATATGTAAAATCCGGTCTTGCGGAAGAGACTTTGTTAATGTTTATGAGCTGCATTTTTGAACATATTTTGAACATAGAATTGCATTACTAATTGTTCTTTTTCCTTTGCTTTGGGACCCGGATCTACCGACAAGAGAGTGGACTGGATGAACAAAAGTAAAGTACAAATGGGTTGGATCTAACCCATTCTCAATTTCTCAGATGTTTACCCCACTGCATACTTGGTGCTCAAAACCCCACTGCATACTTGGTGCTCAAAACAGAAACAATGACAAAAGACTATAAAAATGACCAACAAGGCTGTATATATGAATTGAATCCTACACATGTTCAACTCATATCATAATCAGTCAGTTGTCTAAGAACTTATCTTCAAGCAAGGAATTGATTCCATTATTTTTGTATATATATGTATCATTCTAGTTGAAATATATATTAATCT